GGGGGGGGGGAGACGCACGCGCGCATGTGCAGAAGAGGCCAAGGTTCCCTGAGAATCTCTGCGAGACCTTGCGGGGTTAATGACTCAACACAGCACGGGGGGGGGGGAGCATGCTGGCTACCCAGAACAATCAAACTGACACCGTAGTAGCGTATATTATCTTAAGAAAACGTGAAGAATCAAAACAGCAAATGATGATCTCCTATGGTGGGAGTTCCAAGTAGGCCACGAGCTTTATAAATATTTCTTCAAAGCCTATCAATAAAAAGGTCATGCTTATTTTTTCAGCGATACTATTGATACCCATGACAAACAAAACAAGGAAACACACTTTACTGGATTTTTTAACATCATGTCAACGCGGCTATATTATTTAATCAGCACTTTGGTAGCAGAGAACGACGGGTTAACAGCAGCAGTACAAAAACGCGCCACTGGACACGATCCTCAGCCAATTCACCCACGTTCCTCCCTCACATCGCAAATCCTTACGCTACATCTTCAAGTTATCCTTCAATCCATATCTTCGTCTTTCAAGCTGATGCTTTTCAGGAGGGTGTTTTATTGCTAGTGGGGTGGGAGTAAGTCCCTTGTACTGCGGCCACTTCTGGCCTATTGTACCAGCCCCAGATGATAGGTGAGGGTGATTGTGGAGCAATTGGTGGAATGAAGATTGGCAGGGGAAACCGAAGTATTCGGAGAAAACCTGCCCCAGAGCAACTTAATCCACCACAAATACCACTTGACGAGACCCGGAATCGAACCCGGTCCGCCGCGATAGGAAGCCAGCGACTAACCGCTTGAGCTATGGCGCGGCCCTTCAGGAGATTTTTTTTCCCCTGGCACTACAACCCCAGTGGGCCTCGGCCTACCTCCATGAACTTCTCCGTTTACTTCGGTTTTTCTAGATCTTAGACATATGGTAGGACTCCTTGGGTGGGTGATCAGCTCGTCGCAAGGCCTCTACCTGTTCACAAGCACAGAAATCGCACACAAACATCCATGCCCTGAGTGGGATTCGAACCCACGATCCCGGCTTTCGAGCGAGCGAAGACAGTTCACGCCTTAGACCGCTCGGCTACCGTGACCGGCCCTTCAGGAGGTTTACTCTCCAAATTTTTATTTTCTTCCTAGTCTCACCTTCAGAAGCACAAATCCAGCCTACCTTAACGTCCTGGGTTTCATTACCCTAGCAGGATTAGGCGACTGGTATAAATCACAAAGCTCCCCGATCTTTCACATCTAAATTGTTCTCTTATTCAGGTCCAAACTGTTTCCTGAACATGTATGCATCCTTTAAGGTCTAGTTCATGATTTACCCTCAGCGCAAGAGACGACATTATACACTTACACAAAACAACTGGCAAAAATTATTGTTGCTGATTTTCAGGATTTTAGAAAACAGACAGAGCTATAGAAATATTTATTTCCAGATTAGTTTTGTACTAACCAGCAGAAAAGAAGAACTACTTTATTGTTAAAGCAGCTATTGGTTTTCTACCTCGACGCATTAGAATCGTCAACACAAACAAGAAGACTGTCTGACTTATATTGTTCAACTTCGTGATCTCCTTGGCCTCATCGGATGACATATTTAAAAGGCAGTGCGGAAAAAGAATTCGCTTCTTTCAGTTGCAAAAATATTAGACAAACGTGGCCTTATTTACAATAGTGAATCATGAACCGAAAGATGGTTACATCTGGTGGATCAGTCTTGTGTGCTAAAATAGGTGATATGTAGCGGGATCCCACAAACTTAGAAAAACACCTGCAATTATTCATTTCCAAAGCAACAGAAGAGCAGCAGATTTAAGTGTCTGTTCATACAAGGACTCAGCGTGGAGACTGCTGTTGCAAAACCATTCTGCATTTGAAGGAAATTCATATGAGTCAAAGACACTAAGTATGTGTATTATCTTCGGGGTACAGCTCCACTACCTACGTTTTCAGAACAGAAGTGCCAGAACGCTGCAGAAGAAGGATGAATTATATCGCCCCGAAAGCCAAAGTTTTCTTCCAAAACTGCCTTCCTTAAAAATGAGAAAATTATAGAAATTACTGTAGCGTCAGATACAAGCGCATAATGAGACTGTTGTATAATTTAAATAGCTAAATTGGCCGAAGAAGATGAAAGAAAATATAACACTACTTGATCGTAATGTAGGGTTTAGTTTCAATTACTATATTATTCCGTAAGTAGATCAATTTGCGTGAACCAAACAATATGTACCAAAAAGTACACCCTGATTATGTACACATAAAATATGAATTGCAGCATCACTTGATTTATTGCTCGAAATAAGCGTGAAATAATAAACAAAAACATGTTTTCATCTTGACTTGTCGTCACCAGTTTGTTTCCAGTGACAGTGTGTAGATAGCACCAAACCAATGTCAACAGCTTGTTATTGAGCAGTGATACGCACAATCTGTCAATAGGTTTGAAGGATGATGTATGTCCAGAAGTACAAGAGATTGAATGAACATACTTAACACAGTGGCTTGAGTCCGCAAGCGAACTATACCGACCGAGCGACCGCCGCTTGTCGACGAAGTTGGTGCCAACTTTAGCGGATAGAGGGTGTCGCGTGGTCGGCGCAACGAATCCCCACGGCCGTTAATTTCGGTTTTCTAGACCGAAATGAACATATTTACGCATGCATACTAACGTTAGTTTCAATAACACACGGTGTTGTGTGGTGTGAAATAAATGTATTTTAGCGCGCCGCCACGTTGAAAGTTGAGCGAGACTGTAGTAAATTATGATCAAATGTAAGCAGCATTCAATGCAGACAAACGCCTGTAATAGCGAATACGAATATACATTACAAATTAAATTGTACTTTTATATTAAAATTGCACGCACCTTAACCCGAAGCGTAGGTCCAAGTGAGTGAAAGGATGAAAATCGAGTTTTATTTTTGTGGCTCTGATTTTCTTTTAAACAGTAGGCAAAAAATCTAGAATGTTTTTGTTTACAATACATAGCCTAGCACATGCTTGTCAGTGTTGTGCATTATATATATATGGTTTTTCGTCCTGCAATGAAAAACTTTCTTGGGTGCGAGAACTTTCTTAGGCTCGTTGAGGCCGAAGAGATATTACTTATGAACGGGCACCATAAGAAAGCATTCCCTTTAATATGTGTCTTTATCTGCGGTTACTAGTTTGGACCTAGACGAAGATAACAGGACCACACTAAAATGGAATTTACAGAAAGAGAATGAGGGGATGGTAGACTGGATTTATCTGGCTCATCATAGGGATCAGTGGCGGACTCTGGTGAAAATGTTACCGGACCTTCGAGTTCCATAAAATGCTGGGAATTTATTGAAAAGTTGGAAACTGTTGACTTCTCAAGGACGGCTCGGGTACAAGGAGTTCGTGTTTTACTTGCATACTTTTTCAGACCGAAAAGAAATAGCGATTCTCAGCAGGATCGCGCTGCGTGATAATCAGGAACCTTTTGAACCAGAATGTGGAATAATTAGTGAATCCATCAATTTTGCAAACCCAGCGGACCGATAGATTAATGAAGAACGGACAACCAAGGGAGAGCACGTTGCTGTAACAGTGACGCTCTACATTTTAAATCTGGAAATAATGAATCCTGATTGGTCGGGCTACTTGGTATCCGGACTGAGAATTTTCGTTTTTATCCTCTGCTTCTTAAGGAGACTCTCCGGACAGTATCCTGAATTGAGTCACAGTCCTGTGTTCCAATATGTGCTTACTATTCACCATTATCCTCCCATCTTATTCACAAGGATATAACCCTACAACTGAAAATGAAGTGTAAAAACAGAAATGCAACTGGTACTACCGTCAATGTTGGTACAACGGTAACGCATCACACCTTCAGACGTAAGAGTAAAAGGTATAGCTGTCCCCGTGCTCAACGAAGTAAGCACTACACCATGAAGGCGTATGGGGGACTGGAAGTATAGCTCCGCATTTTCTTGACCTCGGCAATAGCTTGAGTGGTCAACTTCACGACCCTGTTGCTTTACCCCCGGGGAAGAATCGCCCGGTAACCATTGGATAGGAGGTTGGGTGGACCTCCCCTCCCCAAGCCTGGACGACGTGGAGAAGAGAAAATTCTTGACCCTACCGAGACTCGAACTCCGACCCCTCGGTCGTCCAGCCCATAGCCAGTTGCTATACCGACTGCGCTACCTCGGCTCCTACTTTCAGGATGTAGGTGGTTCAAATGCAAGTAACAGGTCGATTATGGGAACTAAGGATTTTCAGTTTTCTTCTTTATGTTTAAAATAGGCTACTACCATTTGCTCAAAATGCATCTCGACTGTGTATCATCTCACAAATTGCTACAGCGTTGTAAAACAACTTAATAGCCAGCCAGTAAATGCTCTCTTTTTTTTATTCCCATAGTGGGGGGTGGAGTCCAGCTGGGTCCACTCGGCACGTCTGCCACTGATTGGCCTATTGTACCTGCCCCG